AGCTCTAAATCTTTAGATGTGAGTACATAGTTGGTAGTAACCACAGAGACCAGGAAAGTAAACTAGGACCATTGTCAGGATGACGGTAGCCGGGGGTGGGGGGGGTGGGGGGTTGGGGGTGGGGGTGGGGAGAGGGGCTGGAGGTTGGGAACAATAGAGAAGGGAATACCAGGTTGTAAGTAATCATAGGGAAATGGGAAAAGGGGGGCTCCTTAAGGAGGTAAATATAGAAGAAGGTGGAAGAGAGGGTAAAGGGGGATGGCAGGATACAGTGATCTCATAGGGGAATGGGAAAGGTGGGCTCCTTAGGGAGGAGGAGTTACAAACAGCAGGAGGTAGATAAAATAGCAATATGCATGGCTCAGAAAGCCACAAGGGGTCATACTATAAACTACCCCCCCAAATCCCTACATATATGTGACTTAATATATAAATACACATATAATCCAATGCATTTTTCTCATCTAGGATGACAGCTCTCCCTCCAATAGCCAATGACTACCTAACAAAAACCCCGGTGTCACACATGAGCAGTCCTCTTTTGAGTTGTTGCCCAGGGCTGTCTGAGACTTCCCAAACATACAGCCTGTTTCTGTTACCCTTGGTTGCCCCCCAGAGGTGGAAGGTAATTCCCGATTGCTGCAGAAACCATGTACTTCAGAACCATCCCAGAGACCTCTGAGCTGGGATGACCTGAATGCCCCCTTCCTGGAGACTAGCTTTCATGGTCCCAATTCATGCCGAGGTACCAGTGCCTTTACCTGGATGTTGAAAGTGGAAAAGAGAAATGCTGTTTCAGCATTTTTCTGAACATAGTCTAACCTCATGGGCTCCTCTGGCGAAGTCTTTGAGATTGTGGAGGTCTGTGGGCATGCTTTGAGGACTGTCTATGCGCATGGCATGCACACTCTTTTTGTTTGCTTACTCGTGCAAAGAGCTTCAAGCAGTCAAGGCATGGGTCTCACTCCTCCCTATTTTCTTGTTCTTCCTTATTTATTTTCTCTGGCTGGCAGCCTCGTCTATCCCTCTCCTTCTTAACTAATGGCCATCCATCTTTCTATTAGACCAGTCAGGTGTTTTAGGCAGGCAAAGTAACATGGCTTCACAGAGCTAAACAAATAAAGCATAAAAGAATGGAACACATCTTTGCATCATTAAACAAATATTCCTCAGTATAAACAATACATCTTAAACTAATATTCCTCAGCAATATCCCAACCCTAAACCTCAATTCACATAAGCAGAGTTGTGATGTATAGCTGTCTGGCCTCTGTCATATTCTTAATACTATGTCTCTGAAGATTTGCAGGTGTGTTTACATCTGTCAGTGTGCTTACATTAACTAATGTAACTAATGAATTTCTCAGATTGCCCTTTAAAGATTGGTGATTTTAGATTTGTATTGTAGATATTACTCTTATTTGTATTATTTCATTTCTCTGTTAGATTTGGAACTGGAAGCCTCACTGTCAAATCACTGGCCATGACCATTGTCTCCCAAAATAATAGGCTGCTAATAATTGTTACATGGTGAAATGCTTCCATGTTTTGGAATACTTCCCCAAGTAGAGATTGTTTTATTATTTTCTTCACTGTATGTGTTCACATTAAGCAATAATTTTGAAGGAAACTCTGTTGATGGATGAATTAAGCCAACTTTTGCTTTTCTGAGGAATCAAACACACTACTTGGACTGGTGAGATAGCTCAGTAAGTGTGGTTGCTGTGTAAGCCCGAGGAACACTGATCTCTGTAACTCATGGTGAAAACAGAGACCAGGATCCCCAAAGTTGTCCTGGGACTGCCACGTGGGTGCTGTCCTCCTCATCCTCCTCCTCGTCCTCGTCCTCCTCATCCTCGTCCTCCTCGTCCTCGTCCTCGTCCTCCTCGTCCTCGTCCTCGTCCTCGTCCTCCTCCTCGTCCTCGTCCTCCTCGTCCTCGTCTTCGTCCTCCTCGTCCTCCTCGTCCTCCTCGTCCTCCTCGTCCTCGTCCTCCTCGTCCTCGTCCTCGTCCTCGTCCTCGTCCTCGTCCTCGTCCTCGTCCTCCTCCTCCTCCTCCTCCTCCTCCTCCTCCTCCTCCTCCTCCTCCTCCTCCTCCTCCTCCTCCTCCTCCTCATGCTTGCACTTCTGGAATCGGCCACTGGGTGTCAGGAGTGCTACAGAAACAATGACTATCACAAGGGTAGGATTGACCATTGTGAGCATGTAGACCTTCATGTAGTTCACTGTTTCCACATGATCAATGCCAGGAAAACCTGATACAGTGTGATATATAGAAGCAAGGTACAACTGGAATAGTGAAATTTCAAAAATAAGCCTCTTTAAAGGAGAACTGTAATGGTCCTGCTGGGTATTGTAAATGCCTCAGGTGCATTCGATACTGCTGTTATGTTCCTGGCATTCAGGTCTTTCTCTTTTTTATGGAAAGATGGATTGGACTTCAATTTAAGAATACCCAGTAATCCTTCTCAGGACATACTGTACCAGCTGGTATTTTTGTGTTGTAGTAAATCGGTTCCATACCATAGTCAGTAATAATTAAGACTGTGTTCTGATGAATTCCAAAGCATTTTCAATCAATTTAGCCAAAGAAAATAACATTATTACACAAAAATTTAACTCAATTTGAAAGTTAAATGCAGCAACACCACACATTCCACAAAATGCTAAGCATTTTTCTAGTTAGGATTATATCCAACTGTTGTTGTTTTTTTTAATTCCTCTATTCTAGGAAGATAATTATGTTGTATAATATATATTTAAAAGATTATTACTTTGTGATAAATGCCCAGAATTGGACAAGCTTAACCTTGACTTTCTTTATGAAGACACAAAATCCTTTCATGTATGGCAACACTAGCTTAAAAAAATGTTTTGAAGTGGGATGTGAGGTTTTTGTCAATCTATTTGGAATGAGGGTATACCACATTCTATCAAATTTTACTTTTTGATAAAAGTATAAATTGGGTTTTGTGATGTATGTAGTTCATAAATGTGAAACACTGAATTGTTTAGGTGTTGTAAGGTGGGGTAGGTGGCATGGTGTAGGAAATATAGAATGTGTGTATTTCCGTGTATGTGGTGACAGTCTATGCCATACACATCCTGACTTCTTGTGGCCTAAAAAACTAAGTTACATACATATATACATACATAAACACACACACACACACACACACACACACACACTACACACATACACAAAGAGCACCACATCTGCTTACCTTATAAAGAGATATGCTAGAAATATGTATGCATATACTTTATATGTTTTTTTATAGTTTTCTTTCTTTTTTTCTGTTAGTAAAGTCAAAGTCTGTTAATATTATCAGTGGTCTTTCTAAAGTTATTTTTGCATTCAGATGACTTCATCTGTTCCCTTGCTTTACATAAGGAGTATTCTTATGTAGTTAAATCTTAATCCTGATTAGAGCAATTTATGAGACCAAAGCAAATTTTCCTTTTGAGATTACTGGAGAAAAAGCAGCGTGGGAGCTGGACCCAAGCAAAGCCCGGTTTGCCCTCTCCTTTCATTTTAATTTTTAGAGCAGTGAGTTACATTTTTAATTGGAATTAAAATAACTGCGCCTTATTTTTAGTTGGCACTTCTCTCTGTACGGGTGTGTAGTATGCGTGCTGTGTTTGCCTTCGGTGTAATGTAAAGCAGATGGCAAGACATCACAGCAGACAGTCACGTCCAAGAGAGTCTGTTTGATGGTGGGTTTCTTAAATATCAGTTTTCACTGTGACAATTAAAATGCTAATTTAGAAGGCTTTACTGGAATTTAACAGTTGTATTTTTCTCAAGCAAAAGCTGGCAAGCTCATTTTCTGTGATTCTGTGATATGAATCAGCGATTTAGAAGCTTTAGGAGTTGAAGTGAATCGTTTCCCAGTGTTTACAGTGTCTGTTTTTCTTGTTGTCTTTAATATATGTTAAAATATGCATTTAAATGACCGAATTTTCGGTGTAGCAAATTGGGAGGGGGAAATGTACTAAAATGAATTGTATAGTTATGATTTCAACAAAAATGTAAATGATGTGTATTTTCCGTTGTTAGTCTGCAATGATCCAAATTTAAAACACATGGCGGACTCTTTCTTAGGTGCTAGGCTGGGTGGATTGTAATCTTGCTGCTTTCTTTTATGTTTTAATTTTATAATTCTATTGCCTGAATTAGAGAAATAAACAATCACACGACAGCTTTTATTGTTTGTTTACTCCATGCAAGGCATTGTTGTATACCTTGGCATATTTAATTACTATACAGTTCTAAGTTATTGTCTTCATTTGCACATAAGGAAATTAAGGCTTAATAAGATTAAATAAGTTACCCAAGATCTCAGAACCAGCTGTATTACAAGTAAAGCCAGAGTTAACCTTGCACAGCTTTTATACTATATTCCCTTATCTGCTTATTTTGAGATAAATTTATTCCTGTTATTGAAAACAATGCATTTTTTTCCCAGGATGCATCCAGCTTAGCTTTTACTAAAAGACGGGTTAGCGCATATTGTTACCACTTCTGTGTATCTGTATCAATGCCCTGCTTCTAGCTGAGTAAGTTTTTCAAGATGCGCTCAGCCTGCAGTAGAGAACTTTGCAGCTGTTGTACTAGAATGAACTGGATGGAAACAGAGTTGTAGCTTGCTGGTAACTCATAGTCTTTGCTACATATTGGGAAAGGAAGCTAGAATCAGGGTAAGAGAGGGAGAGACTGACTTCTGAAAGGTATGATGCATCCGATCAGCAGCTCAGAAAGCAAGTGCTACAGTCTTCCAGAAGCCTTTACACATGCAGGGGAGGCATGGTTTCAGTTCACGTCAGAATCAGAAAGTCCCTTGTTAAATATCAGCCTGTTATTGCAGAAAGCATTCTGTAGAATTGTGATCTCTCTGGTATAGTGTTGAGTACAAGTTTTAATTAGTGATCGGATGTTTGATTTAGTGATAATTAGTTTTTTATACATATATAAATGCTTAAATGTTTCTCTTCTTCCTAGGGGGTTGGACATATGACTCTCGTCTGAAGTGCAGCAGTGGCAGACCGTTGAATTCCCTGGAGCTTCCTGAGGCACAAGAGTGGAGGGCAGCCACCCACCTGCAGCCTGCAGCATGCCAGCACTGTCCACAGGATCTGCTGGCGACATGGGTATGAGAACCCAAGGGGGGCAGTTTTCCCTACATTCTTACTTCAGTATTTTTCCCAGTGACTGTAGCCTTGTGAGTGCAAATAGACCACATTTGTCTCTCTTTGACCAACATGAGAAGCGTAAGACCAATGAGAATAAGCTCCAGACTAGGCAGAAGAACTGCGGGATAGACGGCTTTCTTCTCCACGTGGTGGTGGTGGTGGTGCGTGCTCATACCCTTTCTTGCTTTTGGAGCAACCCTGTGCATTTAATTGCTTAAAATAAATTATTTGAGAATGCCCAGTGTTCTGGAAAATACCGTAATACCCATCCACACTGCCGTCACTTACAGTTAACAGCAGGCACGAAATTTTTGTCACACTTGTTTGGACCTCTTGCTTCCTGTTTTTATTCTTTTAAACTACCACCAGGGATAAAATACATCTGGAAGTCTCTACATATCATTCAGAAGTTATATTAAAACTAAACAGTGGGCTGTTGCTGTGACCCAGTGGGTAAAGGCACTTGCTGCTAAAACAGATGACCCGAGTTCACCCACATGGTAGAAAGAGATCTTCTGAAAGTTATTCTTTGACCTCCACACTCACTCTGTGCACATCTTCTGACCCTCACTCACAATAAGTAAGTAAATGTTAAAAACAACAGCGTCATCAGAACACTCAAGAAATCCCATCAATTGTAAGATTCATAAGTCTCTGGACTAGCTAAATATTTCTTAGAAACAAAGCACACATCATGTCCATAAAATCACCTTTCTGACCCAATTTAGCAGTTGTCAGCTTCCTTGATGTCAGCACTATTTACAAATGGATTCCCGGATGCTTTTTAGAACTGTTCAGAAGGAGGGACTAGGGCTGAAATCCAGCAGGGTGTGTGTTTAATGTGTGTGAGCACCAGATTTAATCTTCAACAGAAAAGAGAAAGAAAAGAATTAGTGCGATTGGGAAGGAGGCTGTGCGGTTTTTTGTTTTTGTTATTTGTGTGTGTGTGTGTGTGTGTGTGTGTGTGTGTGTGTGTGTGTGTGTGTGTGTGTTGTTTGAGGACAGGGCTTTGCTCTGTATCCTAGAATAGCCTTTAAGCGCAGTTTTCCTGCCTCGGCCTCATAAGGGCCAGGAGTGTCATGAGTGACACCATGCCCAGGCCACTCCTTGAAGTTTTAAGACTCCTTAAAAGAAGTGGCAACATAATGTGGCTGAAAGCAACGTCCTGTGTGTCGCAGTGGCGTGGCGTCCTGATCAAAGGGCCCACATGACTCTTGCCAGCTGAGGTAACTGTCTCCACCCGAGCCATTCCAACCATGGGCACCACATTCATCCTTTCCAGTTGCTGTCCTGGCAGATGCCATTGTTTGCAATTTAAGCACACTCCGTGCTTACGCTTCACAAGTACAGTCTGGCTGATCTCTGTCCTACTGCAGTGATTTCCCCTCCTAGTGACTCAAACTGTGGATTACTTTTTGTTGTGAGGAAATTTTATTTTTTTGTTAAATTCTGGTAAGCTTTAGTGTTTTTCTTTCTTAGGATGTTAATTTTTGTTTTTATATAGTTCCATGTTTTATTGTGCTATGTAAAATGAATAATTGAACTTTTTGTAGTGATGGGGTAATTATTTTCTAGCCACAAGCATACTGTGGTTGTGTAGTGTATTTTATACTTCACTACTCACCAAAATTGGGTTAACTTTAATTGATAGCAAAGCATTGCTAATGGTGTATAACTCAAAGGCTGTTGAAAACAAGCATTTATAACTGAGAGCTATTGGTCACAGAAGGTAGCATGGATGGGATAGAATTTACAAAGAGCTTTTTTACACAGCCTTGTCATACAGAGCAGAAATGTGTTGACTTATGACACCTGCTTTCTGGTGTTTTTGAACCTGTGTGCCAGAAGGTTTGCGTCAGGCATGGAAGACATGCCTGTTCCCAGGCCAGTGCGCTCAGGGAAGCCACAGTGGAGTGTGATGCTTAGAGTCCCTGCTTAGACATCCTGTGCAGGTGCAGTTGAAACTCTGTTTACTAATGTTAAGTTGCTTAGCAACATTTTTGATGTTATCTTGCTATTGAGTCTCCAAGAGAGCAAGGTTACAGCTTTACTGATTTGTGGGCTCACTGAAGAAAGGTGCCTAACTTTAGGTGCCTGTTGTGGTCATTTGGGAAAATGCTGTGTGTATCTGTGGTATCTAAATGTGTGTTTTGGTGTGTGCCTTTATGCACATATGGAGGCCAGAGAAAGATGTGGATAGCCTGCTCTACCACTCTGTGCCCTATTCCTTTGAAGTAGGGTCTCTCACCAAACATGGGGCTAGGCATCTAGCAAGCAAGCCTTATCCATCCTCCTGTCTCCCTGCCACACAATGCTCTCACATGCATGCACACACATACATACATGTGCATGCACACACACAGTGTTGGGATCACATAGTCACATATGCACCGCGTCTAGCTTTTTTATGCAGATATTAGGGATTCAAACTCAGGTCTTTGTGCTTACACAGGAAACGCTTCACCCTCTGACCCATTTCCTCAGCCTCAGAAAGGCTTTTTAATGAGAAACTCATAACACTCATCCACCTTCCGCTTTGTGCTTATTCCATTAAGAAAAAACAAAGTGAATTTCATCAGCCAACATGAAAACATTCTCTTCTCCTCAGTCCCACTTTTTCTCACTTGATAAGTCTTCAGCGAGAGTTGTGTGTGTGTTCAACAGTTCACATAGCTCAGTTGTCGGGCTCATGGTTAGCATGTGTGAGGATCAGGGTTTGGTCAATGGCACCAAAAAAACATGTTTGACTCTTCTTAAAACAAACAAAAACATCACAGATTTTATTTTATGCAGCCGATTGTATTCTGTTTCTTTCTTCTTGCAGTGCTTGGGACTCATCCTAGAGCCCTGTGCATGCTAGGCCAGTATCTACCACTGAGCCACATCCTAAGCCTGTTCTGTGCCTGTGTATAGCAAATGCTGTCTTGGAGGGCTATTTGCAGGGAGTGTATGAATGTATAGTGTGTCATGCATGTTTATTTACATATCTGTCCTGCACACCTGCAACATCTGGGGGCTCATGCTGTTTCACGTGACTTCGCAATGTTGTGGTCTAGAATGCTGTAAAGGGAATTCTGATCTTTGCTCCTTTTGTAAATATTTGAGCAGGAGACATGCACACATTTAGTGATGCTGTCAAGTTGACCTCCAGACTTGTTAAGCCAGTTAGCCAAGTGTGAGTGCATTAGAGCCCCTAGCTCTCCACATTCTTGTCGGCCTGTCAGTCTTTGTATTCACTGTCATCGGACAGGAAAAACATGGGCTCTGAAGTGATCATGGTGGATTGCTCTTCTGTGGGCCACATTTCCCTTTTTTAATGCACTTTCTTGTCTGGGATGTGTCTATCCAGACTGTTCTCCACTATTGTGTTGTCTTACTATGTTCTAATTGATTTGCAGAATTTCTCATTTTACATTTTATATATTAATTCTTTTGGCCATTTCTTCTAGTTGGCCACTTGTCTTTCTTTTTTACTCCCCCCTTAAATAGTCCCATTTCTTTTACAGAGTTGAAAATCATGTAAGCACATCTTGGTTACTGCTTTTCCCCCTTCAGCTTAAGTACGTCTCCACTTGCCCAAGAGCATATATATTCTCTCAGACTTCTTTGAATAAATGCAAAGATTTGTTTTTACACATGGAATTTTAATTTGACTCCAGTTTGAACGCAGAATGAGGCAGAGATCTAACCTTTTCTTGCACAGATTGTCAATCATCTTAGACTTAATGACCCCATATTCCATTCTTTCCACATTAGTTTGTAGCCTTTCTTTTACTGTATATGAGTGCCATGTGCATTCTTGGTTCTCTTTCTGGATTATAATGACCTGTTGATTGCATCTTAAAAATTTTAATAATCCAATTTTTATAGTAAGTTTAGAATTACAAAGGTAGTGTAACGTTGCAGTGTACCTCACACCCAGTTTCTTCTGTTGTTAACCTCCTGCACCCAGGCACCAAACTCCTTTTGGTCGGTGAACTGATACAGATACCCTGACTCTGAATCCATCCCTGTTTCCTTACCTCTTCTCTCATGCCCCCTCTGCCTTTGGGTCCAGGCTGTTAGTTAGAGCAGTGTGCTGCATGCGGGTTTGTGACTTGTCCTGAGTTTGATGCTTTCTGAGGCTTGTCTTGACTAACACGTCCTTATTGTCAGGTATATTGTAAGGGTCTCTGTGTTTGAATTTGTCTTGTGTTTTTCTCATGAAGGACGTGGAGTTACATGCTTTGGGTAATAGAGGTAAATGCCATCGTATGCTGACACTTGGACCGAGATGGCTGATGCTCACATTCATCTGACTCTCGGTTTCTCCACTCTCAAGTTCCTCTCCTTTTCCTAACTGTGGGCATCTCAGGAGACAATCATACTTAACCAGGGGTACATTCTGTTCTCCCATTTAGGGTGAAATATCTGTGTAAGTTTCTTGGATTCTTGTCTTTTTCTCCCCCATTTATTCACATGTTCATTGTTGGCATTGACTAGTGTCTACTTGACTTGTTTGGGGTTAGAAGTCAGCACTGTCTTATCTTATGTTGTTACCACAGTTAGTCTAGCTTTGCCTGTTGAAAGTTCTTCAGTCAGTTCCTTTGAAAGCCTCCATCGATGTGGGCTTGCTGACTTTCTAGCTCTTTCTCACTTTGGTAGCCAAGGGGCATCAGCTCATGTTTAGTATTTCCTGCCCTGTTCTTCAAGTAGCCATTTTTTCCAAGGAGCCTGGTTTCTTTTCAGGGGAAAATAGGATTAGAAATGGAGACATGGACAGGTGTTTTGCTTACTGCTTCTGAAGTGTGACTGTCTGAGTTAGGGTTTCCATTGCTGTGAAGAGACAGCATGACCATGCAACTTTTATAAAGGAAAAACAATTAAGTGGGGTGGCTTACATTTTCTGAGGTTTAGGTCATGTATCATCATGGTGCGACATGGTGGCATGCAGGCAGAAACGGTGCTGGAGACAGAGC